CACCCTTTTTGGAGTCCCTGGGACGAGTGCTAGATAGTGCTCCATCAGGGGACTCCATTGTCCTGCTGGGGGACTTCAATGCTCACGTGGGCAATGACAGCTTGACCTGGAGGGGTGTGATTGGGAGGAACGGCCCACCTGATCAGAACTCGAGCGGTGTTTTGTTATTGGACTTCTGTGCAAGCCGCAGTTTGGCCATAACGAACACCATGTTCGAACATAAGGATGCCCACCGGTACACTTGGTACCAGGGCAGCCTAGGTCACAGGTCGATGATAGATTTTGTAGTCGTATCATCTGACCTGCGGCCGTATGTTTTGGACACCCGAGTGAAGAGAGGGGCGGAGCTGTCAACTGATCACCACCTGGTGGTGAGTTGGATCAGATGGCAAGGGAACATGCCGCGTAGACCTGGCAGACCCAAACGCATAGTGAGGGTCTGCTGGGAACGCCTGGCAGAAGAACCTGTCAAGACGGTCTTCAACTCCCACCTCCGGCAGAGCTTTGACCACGTCCCGAGAGCAGTGGGGGACATTGAGTACGAGTGGGCCTTGTTCCACTCTGCGATTGTCGAGGCGGCTGTTGCTAGCTGTGGTCGTAAGGTGGCCGGTGCCAGTCGTGGTGGCAACCCCCGTACCCGCTGGTGGACACCAGAGGTTCGGGGAGCCGTCAGGCTGAAGAAGGAGGCCTACAGGGCGTGGCTGGTCTGTGGGTCTCCGGAGGCAGCAGACAGGTACCGGATAGCCAAGCGGGGTGCAGCAGTGGCAGTTGCCGAGGCAAAATCTCGGGCGTGGGAGGAGTTTGGTGAGGCCATGGAGAAAGACTATCGATCGGCTCCAAAGAGGTTCTGGCAAACTGTCCGGCGCCTCAGGAGAGGAAGGCAGCAACTCGCTCACACTGTTTACAGTGGGGATGGGGAGCTGCTGACGTCAACTGAGGCTATAGTCGGACGGTGGAAGGAATACTTTGAGGAGCTCCTCAATCCCACCAATGCGCATTCCGAGGAGGAACCAGAGCTGGGAGGCCTGGGGATGGACTGTCCGATCTCGGGGGCAGAAGTTGCTGAGGTAGTCAAACAACTACACAGCGGCGGAGCCCCGGGGGCGGATGAGGTTCGTCCTGGGTATCTCAAGGCTATGGATGTTGTAGGGCTGTCATGGTTGACACGTCTCTACAACATTGCGTGGTCATCGGGGGCAGTTCCTAGGGAGTGGCAGACCGGGGTGGTGGTCCCCATCTTTAAGAAGGGTGACCTGAGGGTGTGTTCCAACTATAGGGGGATCACACTCCTCAGCCTCCCTGGAAAGGTCTACTCCAAGGTACTGGAGAGGAGGGTCCGATCGATAGTTGAATCTCAGATAGAGGAGGAGCAATGTGGTTTTCGTCCTGGCCGTGGAACTGTGGACCAGCTCTATACCCTTGCAAGGGTGATGGAGGGGGCATGGGAGTTTGCCCAACCAATCCACATGTGCTTTGTGGATTTGGAGAAGGCTTATGACCGTGTCCCCAGGGGCACCCTGTGGGGGACGCTCCAGGAGTATGGGGTGGGTGGCTTTCTGTTAAGGGCCATTCAGTCCCTTTACCAGAGGAGCGTGAGTTTGGTCCGCATAGCCGGTAGTAAGTCGGACCTGTTCCCAGTGAGGGTTGGACTCCGCCAGGGCTGCCCTTTGTCACCGGTTCTGTTCATCACTTTTATGGACAGAATTTCTAGACGCAGCCGTGGTGTGGAGTGTGTCGAGTTTGGTGGCAGGAGAATCTCGTCTCTGCTTTTTGCGGATGATGTGGTCCTCCTAGCTTCATCCAGCTCTGACCTTCAGCTCTTGCTGGGTAGGTTCGCGGCCGAATGTGAAGCGGCTGGGATGAGGATCAGCACCTCCAAATCTGAGACCATGGTTCTCGACCGGAAAAGGGTGGCTTGCCACCTCCGGGTCGGGGGAGAGGTCCTACCTCAAGTGGAGGAGTTTAAGTATCTCGGGGTCTTGTTCACGAGTGAGGGTAGGAGGGATCGGGAGATCGACAGGCGGATTGGTTCGGCGTCTGCAGTGATGCGGACGCTGAGCCGATCTGTCGTGGGGAAGAGGGAGCTGAGCCAGAAAGCCAGGCTCTCGATTTACCGGTCGATCTACGTCCCAATCCTCACCTATGGTCATGAGCTTTGGGTAATGACCGAAAGAACGAGATCGCGGATACAAGCGGCCGAAATGAGTTTCCTCCGTAGGGTGGCCGGGCTCAGCCTTAGAGATAGGGTGAGGAGCTCGGACATTCGGGAGGGACTCGGAGTAGAACCGCTGCTCCTCCGGATCGAAAGGAGCCAGTTGAGGTGGTTTGGGCATCTGGTCAGGATGCCTCCTGGACGCCTCCCCGGGGAGGTGTTTCGGGCATGTCCTGCCGGCAGAAGGCCCCCGGGTCGACCCAGGACACGTTGGAGAGGTTACATCTCCAATCTGGTCCGGGAACGCCTTGGGGTCCTGCCGGAGGAGCTGGTGGACAAGGCCGGGGAGAGGACGGCCTGGAGCTCCCTAGTTGGGATGCTGCCCCCGCGACCCGGACCCGGATAAGCGGAGGAAGACGAGACGAGATTCCTAGTCTGGGTAGTGCAGAAGTTTCTTAGTTTTCTATAAACTGTCCAATGCTCATGCAGATTACTAAGTTTTGCAACTTTCCACGCTTTGTCGCGCTTCTTAAATAAAGCAATTAGTTCATGAGAAATCCAAGGCAAATGGCTGCCCTTAATTTTCACACTGACCCAAGGCGTATGTTTATCAAGAACCTGCATGAACTGAGAGTGGAAAAATGCCCAAGCATCATTAACATCAGGTATAAGAAACAATCTATTCCAATTAATAGAATGCAGCTCCTGTAAATACTGATCAGTGTTAAAAGAATGCAAGTCACGAATTCTGATGGTCTTAGTTGGTGTATGAGGTAAAGATATTTTACAGAAACAATAAATAAAAGCGTGATCACTAAAGCAGTTGGGCAAAACGCCGTAATCAGAAAATCTATCTGGGTGAGTTACTAATATCCAGTCAATGAGAGAAGAGTTTGTGGCACAAGTCCTAGTTGGCTCAGAGACCAGCTGTGTCAGATTTGAGCTATTTAAAAGAATACGTTCTGGAAGAGTAGATTCATCGAGCCAGTTAAGATTGAAGTCACCAAGTAAGATCATTTCCATTGTGTCCCCCAACGATTCAACCATAGCTAGTAAATTTTGTATTGCTTCAAATTTTGGGTAGGAGGGGGGGGCGATAGATATTGCCAATTATAATGTGCTTATTTCCATTAAAAGAAATTTTAGTAAAGATGGCTTCGAAGTGAAGTGGTTTGACTGTCGGAACAATAACCTGAGACTTCAGTCTAGAGGACTTGTCCCTCTATCCATTCTATATAAAACAAAGTTGTCAAGAGAAATATCATTGTCAGAAATATTTTCATTCAACCATGTCTCAGACAACGTAATTATTTTTGGTTCATTATAACCAAGCCATGCTTTTAATAAATCAGTTTTAGGAAATAAGCTTCTTATATTAAGATGGATTATGTGTAACCCTTTACCCATAATAAGAAAAATGAGGTACAAAAATAACCCTCACAGCAGGTAGACACAGAAAAAAATCTAAAACAACGATAAACAGAAAAAAAAGAACAAAATATAATAAAATAACACAGAAATTAAATGAGTTATCACTCAGTCCAAAGAGCAAAGGTCCCAGATCTGAGCCCATGGCCTCCATCCTGCTCAAAGCACAGCCGCCTAAACTAATAAAATTGCCATAACTCAACACGGTGGCTGGATTTTATCAATATAAGTAAATAAGAATAAAGTAAGAATAATTGGACCTTAGACAAAGTTTGACTTCTTCACTGAACAAGAGGAGAAGCAAAAAAATAAAAAATAAAATAAAAAAAAATAAAAAATAAAAGGAATTACCTGCTCTGCGGAAGAGCCAGAATCTAATAATAAAAGAAAGAGGAAAGTCATAAATCCGCCCTCCGCAGGTGCTTGTGCACCCAAAGCATCTCAGGGCATCTCAACCCAAAGAGTCCAAGTGACTTTCAGCAGCCACTGGGTCTGTAAAAAGCAGATGATCACCATCAGAGATTATCTTGATGTTTGCAGGATAAAGAAGAAAAGCTTGTAGTCCCAAGGCGCGAGCCCGGCTCAAAACCGGGAAGCAGCGGCGTCTCCGACGAGCTGTTTCATCACTGAAATCTGCAGCAAATCGAACTGATTTACCAGCCACCAATACCTCAGACTTCCTTGCCAGAGCCAGGATCCGATCTCTGTCATTCGCTCGTAGAAAACAGACCACCAAGGTCCGAGGAGATCCTGACGCGCCGGGTTGTCCAACCCGCCCGAGTTATATCAGGAGGAGATCCCGCCAGCTCTGGGAACCACACCAACAAGTTGCTCCTAAGATAGGATAGAGCATTGTTAAGCTCAATCCCCTCTTTTAAATTGAGTATCCAGATATTATTCCTTCTACTTTGATCATCGAGGGCAGTAATCTTCCTCTGAAGTTTCTGCAGGTCTGTGCTCTGAGCCACGGAAGCGTCCTCCATGCACCGCACCCTTTTTTTGGAGTAAGGTAGTGATTTGCTTTTGAGTTTCAAGCTCTTGTGTGTGCTTGTCAAGTGTAGATCGAATTGAGTCAAGTTGAGAATCAAGACTATCAAACCGATCCTTGGCATGTTTTTCTGCTTTGTCAAAAAACTTTTGAAGAGTAGACTCCTGAGTCTCCTTGTTCAGGATTTCCAGTGACACGTCAGCAGCGTCGTCGTCAGAGCCCTTCGTTTGATCTTTCTGCTGGCGCTTAGGAGGCATTTTTATCAGTAATATGGCTTAGTAATTCACTTTATTCTCCACTCCTTCAAAAAAGAACTTAAATTCAAGTACCAAATCAAAAGGTCAAAGATCCAGGTAGTCAATTAAATTATGCAGGAGAGACTGCAAGCAACCAACCAGTATCTTGTATAATGTGTTTCTGTGTTTCCTACAGATGTTCAACAGATGGTGGTGGCTAAAGAAGAAGCTCCTGAAGAACAAGGTGCTGGTATGGACCAGCAGGACTACCACCAAATAAAAGAGAAACGGGAGGAACTCTGGACCAGTTTGGAGAGAGAGCCTCTCCATTTGAAGGAGAAGATTGATGTTGCCAGGTTCCTAGTCACTGCAGTTTCTATAAAGAGTGAGGATGTTGAAGAGAAGTGCTACACCAGCAGCTCCGCTGATCAGATCACACCAGAAACAGTTGGGAACCAAGATCTGAACCATCATAAACAGACATCCAATTCTTCAGAGACTGACGTTAGTGGAGATGAAGATGTTGACTTGACTCTAGACTCTGGCTTGTCATACTCTAGGTATGGAACTAGAGGCGGAGACAATGACAGCAATGAGATCAGGTGTTCTGAGTCAGATGTTAAGACTCCAAACGAATCTTGTAGCAGCCTTGAGTATGGTAAACATTTTCTCAAAAGTTGTTCTCTCCAGAAACATGTGAGAGTCACAAGTCATTCAGCAAGGTCTTCAGGCTGTTTGGTTAAAAATAACTATGTTAGAGTGAAGCAACATACAGATTCAAGCGGGAAAATCCAAAAAGAACCAAAAACATTCAGTTGTGAGGACTGTGAAAAAAGATTTGGTACAAGAACATATTTAAACATACACATGAGAGTCCACACAGGACAGAAGCCTTTTGCTTGTGAGCTTTGTGGTAGAAGGTTTAGGCAAAAGACACATTTAAACAGACACATGATCATCCACACTGCACAGAATTCTTTTGCCTGTGAACTCTGTGGAAAAAGCTTTGGACTTAAGGCAAATTTAAAAAAGCACATGGCAGTCCACACATTTCAGAAGCCTTTTGCATGTGAGCTCTGTGAACAAACATTTAGAAGAAATACACACTTAAAGAGACACATGATCGTCCACATGGAACAAAACCCTCTTGCCTGTGAGCACTGTGGAAAAAGATTTAGCAATAAGAAGAGTTTAAACCGTCACATGAGTGTCCACACTGGACACAAACCTTTTGCCTGTAAGCTCTGTGGACTAAGATTTAGACAAAAGGCGTATGTAAATAGTCACATGAGAATCCACACAAGACATAAACCTTTTGCCTGTGAACACTGTGGACAAAGATTTAGCCATAAGACCAGTTTAAACAACCACACGACAATCCACACAGGCCAGAAGCCATTTGTTTGTGAGCTCTGTGGACAAAGATTTAGCCGTAAGACCAGTTTAAACAACCACATGACAGTCCACACAGGACAGAAACCTTTTGCCTGTGAACTCTGTGGACTAAGATTCAGACAAAAGGCATATGTAAATCATCACATGAGAATCCACACAAGACATAAACCTTTTGCCTGTGAACACTGTGGACAAAGATTTAGCCATAAGACCAGTTTAAACAACCACATGACAATCCACACAGGCCAGAAGCCATTTGTTTGTGAGCTCTGTGGACAAAGATTTAGCCGTAAGACCAGTTTAAACAACCACATGACAGTCCACACAGGACAGAAACCTTTTGCCTGTGAACTCTGTGGACTAAGATTTAGACAAAAGGCATATGTAAATAGTCACATGAGAATCCACACAAGACATAAACCTTTTGCCTGTGAACACTGTGGACAAAGATTTAGCCATAAGGCCAGTTTAAACAACCACACGACAATCCACACAGGCCAGAAGCCATTTGTTTGTGAGCTCTGTGGACAAAGATTTAGCCGTAAGACCAGTTTAAACAACCACATGACAGTCCACACAGGGCAGAAACCTTTTGCCTGTGATCTCTGTGGACAAAGATTTAGCCATAAGAGCACTTTAACCAATCACACAAGAGTCCACACAGGGCAGAAACCTTTTGCCTGTGAGCTCTGTGCACAACGATTTAGCCGAAAGACACATTTAAACAACCACATGACAGTCCAGACAGGACAGAAACCTTTTGCCTGTGATCTCTGTGGACAAAGATTTAGCCATAAGAGCACTTTAACCAATCACACAAGAGTCCACACAGGGCAGAAACCTTTTGCCTGTGAGCTCTGTGCACAACGATTTAGCCGAAAGACATATTTAAACAGTCACATGAGAGTCCACACAGGACAGAAACCTTTTGTCTGTGAACTCTGTGGACAAAGATTTAGCCATAAGACCAGTTTAAATGATCACACAAGAATCCACACAGGACAGAAATCTTTTGCTTGTGAGCTCTGTGCACAAAGATTTAGCCGAAAGACACATTTAAACAGTCACATGAGAGTCCACGTAGGACAGAAGTAACTTGTAACTACAAGCAGTGTTTCCCCTACTGCGCCACACCTGAAATTCTAGTGCTGCAGCTATGAAATCAAGCCCCTCCCCAACACCCCCGCCCTCACAGTTGACACACGGCACTGAAGCGTTCCGCGCACTATTTCCCCCTTCCTCGCTCCCATGGCAGTGAAACGGACGCAAAGGGTTGAGCCGGATTAATGTTTTGTTTTTTATTATATGTTTGTTTTTGTCTGTGAAGCACTTGGTGACTTGTGTCTGTGAAAAGTGCTATATAGATATACTACTTCTTTTACATTCATCAGTCCAGTCCCCAGCTTCATAGTTTCATTTTTTTTCTCTAGACTTTCAATTCCAGTAATCTTATTACTTTTTTCAGTTATGTTATTTCCTTGACCCTTGTTACGACCCATGCTGATGTTAAAAATGAAGGACGAATGTGTAACATACAGGTGTGTGTGCAAGATGGTAAAAATCCAAACAGATTTTATTATAAAAAAGGATTTTAAAAACACAAAGCTCCAATTCTAAAAGTACTTTAAATAACTGTGTAAAAAAAGACTCATGGTTTCCCATTTAAAAGTGGTTTCATTCATTTAAAACAGATAACTGCATTTCCTGGTTCGGAGTCAGACAAAAAGCCATGAAACTAAGCAAAATTTCCAGCAACACCACCATTTTACTGCAGAAATGTCTACGCTATCCTCCCCCATCAGTACCGACGCAAATGTGTCCCACATCTGTTTTAAAACTCTAAAAGCACTCTCTCTGGGGCATCCTATGATTCAAAATCACGCCTCCGGCTCCTGCTCCATAACACATTGCTTCAGTTTGACATTGCAAGCTTCAGAGTCTCTGTATCGCCTGGCCCATCCAAGAGCACCTGGCTGCAGACCTCCACTGTCAGGCTGCTTCGGGTGGAGGCTCCACTGTCAGGACGACCGTCACTGTCATGACGGGAAATGCACGGGATACATTACAAAATAAAATGGCAAACATACTTATGGAAAACAGCAAACATACTTACGCTTGTAAATGATAGGTTTCAATATAAAATATTACGTAAAATCTATCAATAATTTCTCTATTGTTCATATGTAGTTGTCATTTAACAAACTTACGGTTGTAATTTTTCTAAATGAATTAACGAATGGCTGGGATAGGTTTCAACGGTTGAATCGCTCTCTTCACAAACGCATTTATTTTTTAATATTACGTAAAATCTATCAATTATTTCTCTATAGTTCATATATAGTTGTCATTTATTTAGTAAACCTTAGTTTTGTTTGTCATTTTTGTTGTGTGTTTTCGTTTAGTGTTGCACAACGTAGTCATTATGATATATTCTGTCATAATCTAAGAGGTAATATTAAAAAATGAATGCGTTTCTGAGGAGAGCGATTAAACCGAAACAGCAATTGGGATTTTATTCAGAAATGTGACGGCCGGAAGTATGTTAGCGTATGTTAGCATTTTATGTTGAAACCATTCGTTAATTCATTGTGCAAAATTACAACCGTAAGTATGTTAAATGACAACTACATATGAACTATAGAGAAATAATTGATAGATTTTACGTAATATTTTATATTGAAACCTATCAATTACAAGCGTAAGTATGTTTGCCGTTTTCCTTAAGTACGTTTGCCGATTTATTTTGTAATGTATCCCGTGCATTTCCTGTCCTGACCGTCCTGACAGTGGCGGTCGTCCTGACAGTGGAGCCTCCACCGGAAGCAGTCTGACAGTGGAGGTCTGCAGCCAGGTGCCTCTCAGCGCTAAAGCGACTAACTGCTGCTGCTGCAGAAATCTTCTCACCAGGCTGTGGAAACTTTCTTCTCCTCTTCAACAACTTGGTGGAGTTCTTTCCAGAACCAGAGAAGATATGCTGCGGTCTTCGTGACAATCGGAGCTTCAGAATCAGAAAAGCTTTTCTCATAATCAGCAGCTCTTTTCTCATAATCAGCAGCTCATCAAGCTCTGCAGAAGCTCACCTGGGGTCTCATTTATAAAACATTGCGTTGAATCCTTGCTAAAACCGTACTTAAGCTCAGCAAAATAATGTACTTACGCCAAGTACAAGTTTGTGACCTATAAAGCATGAAGTACGCACAGCTTCACACAATCTCCGCTTTATAAATCACACTCTACCTAGAAATGTAAAAAATCTAATTTAATCAGGCATATGAAAGTCCACACAGGACAGAAGCCTTTTGCCTGTGAGCTCTGTAGACAAAAATTTACTCATTAGTCAACTTTGAACAATCACCTGAGCATCCACCAAGGACACAAACCCTTTGCCGCTGAGCTCTGTGGACACACCCTTAGCCAAAAAACAATTTTAAACAGTCACATGAGAATCCACACAGGACAGAAACCTTTTGCATGTAAGTTCTGTGAACAAAGATTTGGAGATAAGTCAGCTTTAAACACTCACATAAGAGTCCACACTGGACAAAAACCTTTTATCTGTGAGCTGTGTGGACAAAGATTTAGTCAAAAGACAACTTTTAAACAGTCACATGAGAGCCCATACAGGACAGAAGCCTTTTACCTGTGAGTTGTGTGGACAAATATATACTCATAAACATCTTTAAACAGTCACATGAGAGTCCATACAGAGACCAAAAACTTTTGCTTGTGAGCTCTGTTGACAAAATTTTTGGCTAAAGATATATTTTAAAAAACACATGAGAGTCCACACAGGAGAGAAGCCCTTTGTCTGTGAGTAAGAAAACTTTAAACAATCACATGAGAGTCCACACAGGACAGAAACCTTTTGTCTGTGAGTTCTGTGGACAAACATTTAGTTAAAAGGTACAGTTAAAGAGCCACATAACTGTCCACACAGGTTGTAATCCTTTTACCTAGGAGCTCTGTGAATAAAATTTTTTGCCAAAGGACCAATTTAAACGATCACAAGAGAGTCCACACAGGACAGAAGCCTTTTGACTGTGAACCTTGTGGACAAAGATTTAGCCAAAAGACATTTAAACAGTCATAAGCACCCACACAGGACATAAGAATGTCATTTAACTACAAGAATACCAAAAATTATGTTTTTAGTTTTTATATTATAAATGTTGAACTGAAATGGAATTGAACATGGTTTTTCAAACATGTAATAAGAAAATAAAAAGCAAACACTTAATAATGAAAACATTCAAATGAATTAAAAAATGAAATAAAAAAGGATTGGGTAATTTAATTAATAAAGTAAGAAATCATACTTCAAATTCATCAATTTACAAATACAAAAAGGAGTGGGATAAAGTAAAAAAACAGTGACAAACACCATTTTTATTAATGAACTATAATTATCCAATCTTGTTTCCAATCAATAATGCAATAATTATTAATAGCAACATTACACTTTATATAACATATAATCAATCATATAACACCACCAAGAATGCTCCACTGTACCAGTTAACATACAGTAATTACAACAATTTATGAATTTCGACTCTAAAGCATGCATCTTCATCATTTCTATAAAGCGTAAAAAGAATTTCCTATCATTTACCAAACCGTCTAATACACTCAACAAAAATATAAACTCAACACCTTTGTTTCTGCTCCGATTTTTCATGAGATGGACTTAAAGATCTAAAATTCATTCCAGATACACAATATTACCATTTCTCTCAAACATGGTTCACAAATCAGTCTAAATGTGTGATAGTGAGCACTTCTGCTTTGCTGAGATAATCCATCCCACCTCACAGGTGTGCCACATCAAGATGCTGATCCGACATGAGTAGTGCACAGGTGTACCTTATACTGCCCACAATAAAAGGCCACCCTGGAATGTGCAGTTTTATCTCACAGCAAAATGCCACAGATGCCACAAGCATTGAGGGAGTGTGCAATTGGCATGCTGACAGCAGGAATGTCAACCAGATCCGTTGCTCATGCATTGAATGTTCATTTCTCCACCATAAGCTGTCTCCAAAGGCGTTTCAGAGAATATGGCAGTACATCCAAACGGCCTCACAACTGCAGACGACGTGTAACCACACCAGCCCAGGACCTCCACATCCATCCAGCAGGTTCACCTCCAAGATCGTCTGAGACCAGCCACTAAGACAGCTGCTGAAACAATTGGTTTGCATAACCAAACAATTTCTGCACAAACTGTCAGAAACCCTCTCAGGGAAGCTCAACTGTAGGCTCGTCTTCCTCATCGGGGTCTTGACCTGACTCCAGCTCGTCGCCGTAGCAGACTTGAGTGGGCAAATGCTCACATTCGATGGCATCTGGCCACCACGTTGGAGAGGTGTTTTCTTCACGGATGAATCTCGGTTTTCATTGTTCAGGGCAGATGGCAGACAGCGTGTGTGGCGTTGTGTGGGTGAGCGCTTTGCTGATGTCAATGTTGCAGATCGAGTGGCCCATGGTGGTGGTGGGGTTATGGTATGGGCAGGCATCTGTTATGGACGAAGAACACAGGTGCATTTTATTGATGGCATTTTGAATGCACAGAGATGCCGTGATGAGATCCCGAGGTCCATTGTTGTGCCGTACATCCATGAACATCACCTCATGTTTCAGCAAGATAATGCACGGCCCCATGTTGCAAGGATCTGTACACAATTCTTGGAAGCTGAAAATGTCCCAGTTCTTGCATGGCCAGCATACTCACCGGACATGTCACTCGTTGAGCATGTTTGGGATATGCTTGACCGGCGTATACGACGGTGTGTACCAGTTCCCACTAATATCCAACAACTTCGCACAGCCATTGAAGAGGAGTGGATCAACATTCCACAGGCCACAATTGACAATCTGATAAACTCTATGTGAAGAAGATGTGTTGCACTGCATGAGGCAAATGGTGGTCACACCAGATACTGACCGGTTCTGAGTCCCCAGACCCCCAATAAAGGAAAAAACTGCACATTCCAGGGTGGCCTTTTATTGTGGGCAGTATAAGGTACACCTGTGCACTACTCATGATGTCAGGTCGGCATCTTGATGTGGCACACCTGTGAGGTGGGATGGATTATCTCAGCAAAGCACAGGTGCTCACTGTAACACATTTAGACTGATTTGTGAACATTGTTTGAGAGAAATGGTAATATTGTGTATCTGGAATGAATTTTAGATCTTTAAGTCCATCTCATGAAAAATCGGAGCAGAAACAAAGGTGTTGCTTTTATAGTTTTGTTGAGTGTATTTGGACATTCCCTGAGCATAATCATCTTTTTTCTTTTTTGTCACAGTGCAGTAAGAAGATGATTATGAATCAACACACAGAATGAATATACAGAAGCCATTCCCCGAGCATTTCGTCCAAACAATTCCATAACTTAACCCCACAAACTGAAATGCAAAATATTTTATTGGTTGTGCGTAAATCCTATGTTCTAAATTTAAATTCCCCCATCATGCTGTAGCCTCTGTCCCTTACAGGTTTTTTTTTTTTGCAGTTCATTGTAAATTCTAGGCTAGTCCTCCAACCTATTCAAAGCACTGAAATTCTGTCAGTTTTAAACTGTTTTTCTGTATTATATTT